TACAAGAGATGTTGAACATTTTTTCATATTCTTGTTGGCCATCTGCATTTCCTTTTTGGAGAAATGTCTTTTTAGCTTTTCTGCCCATTTTTTGATGGGGTTGTTTATTTTTGTTGACTTCCATCAGTTCTTTGTACATCTTGTGATCAATCCTTTATTGCTAGTTTTGTGTGAGAAAATTTTTTCTCAACCATAGTATTTTTAAACTGGAAACTAATGATCACTTATAATCATGTGCCTTCCTGAACTTCCTGAGTAGCAGGGTAGTTTTTCTTTGTTTCTTTGGAGTACTTTGTATTTTCCTTGATTTGTTACTCAGTTTTTATCAGATTGACTGGATAATTTCAAATTGCTCTTTAGTTTGTATCATCTACTCACATTTCACCTACTCCTATGCCTTTCAGAGAACTATTCTGGTAATTATGCAGAGAAAGAAAGAAACTTGAATGGTGTTTACCCAACCAGAGGGTTAGCATAACCATAATACATAATTTTGGCTCCAACATATTTTACCTGTTGGGTTAGTCGACTCAATAGAAATTGAATGTATGGTTAGATGGGTTGGTAAATTACATTTTCTGAAGGAGACTGAAGTCTAATGTTTCTGAGGTAAATCTGACTCTGCTCTATATACACATATCTTTCAGCTATTTTATTTGAGAAATATTATCCATGGATAGACTTAAAAAGCAAAAATGTTAAATTAATAAGAATGTAAATGAAAAAACTTTGTTGACAGAAAATACATTAATTCAATATTTTCTGTTCACTCAACTCTTTTAAGTTTTAAAAATAAAACTAACTTTTGGCCCTTCCTGGTGTCACAGTGGGATAAAGTACAGCACTAAGAAGCTAAAGCAACTTCTGCATGAGTTTGATCCCTGCTGCCCCAGAAGTGACCACATGGCACGGCAGACCTCTCCTGGTGCTGCAGACCTCTCCTGACCTGCCTGCTGCTCCCCCCAGCAGAGTACTTCATCAGTTGGCCTGTTCTGCTCCCTGCTCTGTCTCTGGTGAATCCTCTCACCGCCCTTGCATCTCTGGCCTGTACCCCAGTTCTATATACACAAATAAATAAATCTTAAAAAAATAACAAAAAAAAGACCTAACTTTTAAAGCCTATTTAAACTAATTTTTAATGTTTTAATTCATTTTCCAAATCATATTGCCTTTAATAATTTAAAGTAATACTATAAGAAGGAATTTCATCATGAATGCATTTCTTACATATTTGGTAAATATACACAATTGTGAAAATTTTTTAGTGGGATAGTAAAGGACTGTGAGATCGAATATGTTATTTTTATGTTTCTTTTAGACCATCTTTCCATTAAAAATGAATAAAGCACACTGTTGATAAATGTTAGAAAATAAATATAATGATTAAAAATTAACAGATTCATATTTCAAGATCAGGCATTGAACCTAAATTCCAGACTATACAATACTTTTTGGCATTTTTAATAATGCCTGTTGAAGGTCAAATGACATGTCATGTCCAAATGAAACTTCATGCATGCTTAGAGGCAAGGCCCTGGACAAGCCAGGAAGAGAGTCTATATGAAGAACTGAGTTGACTGGCACCTTGATATTGAGCTTCTAACCTCTAGAACTATAAGAAAATAAATCTCTTCTACTTATGCTATGTAGTTAGTAATATTTTGTTTTGGTAGCCTGAGCAGACTAATACAGCAATACAATCTTTGCAACTGATCTGGTGAAAAAATATCAAATCATCTTTGTTTTCATGCATACCCATCATCTAATTATTGAGAAAATATTGATGGCTTTACCTTCAAAATTTATCCAGTATCTGACAGTTCCATTTGTTCCATCACTGCCATCCTGGCCTAAGTTTCTATCAACTCTCACTTGATTCATATTTTAGTTATTTCCTGCTCCTGTTTCTGTTATCACTAGAGGCAGCTGTATTATTTCTTTAAATATTAGTCATATCATGCCTCTTTTCTACTCAGTCTCCAGTGACTATCTCAATAAAAATAAAGCTAAATGCTTAAAAACCCTTCAGAACATTCCTTCCCATTATCTCTGAGAGCTCATTTCTGCTCTCTCTGTAGTTTACTTTGCTCCAGCCATGTAATTTTGTTGTGATGTCTTCTGTAGTTCAGTCATTTCTGACGTTAATAGTAAGGAAGAAGAATGAGAGTAATTACAAGAAGGGGTAATAGTTTACAGATTATTATCTTCAATTTAGGTAAGAAATCATCACAGCCACATACACAAAGAAATAAAAAAAATTCTTTACTTCCAAATATTATTTACTTATTATTTTCTATTATATTATCCTTTATAGGTTTTCAGAATACTTACCATTACTGAAATTATTTTCTTTTCTTTTTTTTTCTTTTCAACACTGGAATGTAGTTTCAATGGATACCAGTATTTATTTTTCTTCCACTTTTAGGAACATGCAGTAGGTTTCTGTCTGATATCTTGCATGTTCATTGGGCAACAGTAAAACAAATAAACCAAAAAGCAAAAACAAAAGATGGACACAGGGCCAAATAGACTGTTTTATAAAGAACACATATGTAACAAACCCATGAAAAAATGTTTAATATTATTTATCATCAGAGATGTATAAATCAAAGCTATAATAAGATGTGGTCTCATACCTATGAGAATGGTCTATATAAAAAAGGAACAGGAACAAGTGTTGTCAATGATGTAGAGAAAAAAGAAATGTTGGTGGGAATGTAGATTGATTCACCTCATATGGAAAACAATACAGAAATTTCTCAAACTATTAACATATCTGCGATATTATCCATCAATTCCACTGCTTGATATTTATCCAAAGAATGCAGAAAACACAAATCCAAAGGGATCAGTGCATGCCTGTGTTCATTGTAGCACTATTTACAGTGGCCAAATTATGGAAATGACTAAAGTGCCCAAGTGCCAGATGAGTGGATTAAGAAGATGTGATACATACAGAAATACAATAGAATACTACTGAGCAAAGAAAGGATGAACTGTTCATATTTGTGACAACATGGATAGATACTGGTAGCTATAGTTCATTATACTAAGTGAACTAACTCAGGAGAAAGACAAATGTCATCTGTAATATAAATAAACAAAAGAAATGAACAGAATTTACTCCCTTATGTCCTACATAATGTTGCAAACCAATGTTACCTCAAAAAAAAAATAATGTCATAGCTGTAACTTGCAAAAGATTACAATTAGACTAACCATCTCACATCCTACACACACAAAAAGCTTAAAATGTATAAAAGACTTGAATGTAAGACCTGAAGCCATAAAATACATAGAAGAAAACAGACAAAACACTCTGAGATATACACCTCAGAAACATCTTGAACATTCATCCCCAAAGCAAAGAAAATGAAGGAAAAGGTAAACAGCTGGGACTAAACCAAATTAAAAAGCTCTGCACAGCAAAAGAAACAGTAATCAAAATGAGGAGACACCCTACAGAATGGGGAAAATATTTGTACACCATACAACTGATAAGGGACTGCTATCAAAGGTCTACAATGAACTTAAACAACTTAACAAAAAAATATCAAAATAACCCAACCAAAAACTGGACAAAAAAGCTAAAAAGACACTTGTCAAAGAAGAAATGCAAGTGGCCACTAGGTATACGAAAAAAAGGTTCAACATCACTATGATCAGGGAAATACAATCAAAACCAGAATGAGATACCACATTACACTGTGGATAATGGCCCATATTTAAAAAACGAGCAACAACAAATGCTGGTGAGGATGTGAAGATGAGGGAACCCTCTTACACTGCTGATGGGAATGCAAACAAGTCCAGTCACTGTGGAAAGCTACGTGGAGGACCCTTAAAACACCAAAAATGTATCTACCATATGGTCCAGTGATTCTACTCCTAGGAATTTAGCCAAAGGATATCGTCTACTGAAAGGACAAAAAAACCACTTAATTTGAAGGGAAACCTGAATTCCTATGTTTATTGCAGCACTATTCACAATATGGGTACAACCTAAAAGCCCTCACATGGGTAAATAGATCAAGAAAATAAACTTATAGACTATTTGCAGCAATGTACATGGAGCTGGAAGGGACTATGCTAAACGAAACAACTCAGAAAGAAATAAAATATCTCACTTATAGAAGAAATGTAGGAAAACCAAAGAGAGGATCAGGAAAAAAAACCTTTCAAGGAAACCATAGAGCTGAGGCATATGGCAGGGGAGAAGAGGTCAAATGGGAGGAACAAGCAAAAGGGACTATGCTGATGGTCACAGTGGTGGGAGAGTGATGGGACACATGATGGAAGAAAGCAAATTTTGTGGAAAGATGAAAAATGTAAGAAATTAAAAAGAATAAGTTATAAACAAAAATTAAAAATAATGTTGCAGGAAAAAAAGGTAAAGAAATGTTCTAAGAATCCAGGGGTCACAGTCAGGAAGAAACCAATCTAATATTTAATCAAGCTGAGGGGAACCGAACCTTGAGCATCAACTTTATATATAAATGGTCTTATTACTGGGAACTTTTTTGAGAGATGATACATTAATCTTTTATTTTACTTCCAAATATCTGGGAGTGATAGAAAGACATACAGGGAACAAATGAGTTTGAAAGTGATTTATTAAATAAATGCTGAAGAAATAAAATTAAACAGGATGTGAGTGTATGAAAGAAGCAGAATTTCTAGAATGGTGTCATTTCTGAAGTGCGATGATAGTCAATTCTTGAGGCAAAATTGGCAAAAGATAAGGTGCGAAGTTTAACATTTCATCAAACGAGGACCTAGAAATAATTGTTGAGAAATACAAAATTAATTTTGTATAAGCATTACCAAGTTGTTTAAAAATTATTTTCTATTTCTTATATGGATTTAATTCCATTCTTTATGTCCCTCTCAAGACCCATAGGACCAATCATTTCTTGAAAGCTCATAATTTTATTTTTAAAACATATTTAGTCAGACATTTTATGTTTAAAGCAGAGCTTGTTAGCTACATTTAAGGCTTAACCTGTCATTAATACCACCTATCAATAGAAAGCTTTCATGGGGAAAAAAAAAAACCTATTTAAAATTTTAATATTAGGGGCCTCCCTGGGGGTGCACGGGGTTAAATCGCAGCACTATGAAGCCATCTGCAGCACGAGTTCAAGCCCCAGCAATGGAGGTGATCCACATAGCTCAGCAGACCTCTCCTCACCTGCCCACTGCTCCCCTCAGCAGTGTTTTACAATCATTCTGCCTATTCTCTTCCCCACTCTTATCTCTGGTGAATCCTCTTACCCCCTACATCTCTGGCCTGTACCTCAGTTTTTGTATACATGATTAAATATTAAAACAAATTAATATTAAATAATCCATCATATCTTTATCTAAAATACTCTTAGATCTGCTCCTTCTACCATAGGGTTTTTCTATCCCATTCTAAGAGCTTACACTAGTTTATCATATTGTATCTTGATAACTATAAAATTTTTTAAATTTTATTTCTTTCATAGATACTCTTCATTAATAGCATTTCCCCCTAATTTACATCTTAACTTAGGTGTCACTTTTGCTATAGTTTTGTCAAGTATACCTGTTTATAATTTCCTGATTATGATTCTCTTTCTTAGGTTTGAACTTATGTACCTGCCAATTTTCCTTTCTGAAGTACTATCTGAGTTTTCTGGAATACTATCTGAGGTATTATATGAAGCATACTAGTACCTCATCAGACTATGCCTCCTCTTGCTCAAGATTTTGTTATACACACACACACACACACACACACACACACACATATATATATACACACACACACACATATATATAGTTGCTGTAGAGTGGTAGAGTTCAGTAATTTTCAGTAACTTTTAATTTTGAGAAGGCAGGTGATTATGATTCAATAACATGCTCATAAGCTATCTTCCCAGATCATTATTTTAGGATTCTAAGATTTCTGATTACTTATTAAGCCTTTGGACACTAGAACGAGCTAGAATGTATACTACCATGTATATTTAATTGGAACAAATCCTATACTTTGGGATGTAAAATGGGAGAATATTTTTACAGAATTATAAAAAAATTAAGATTTGGAGAAGGTCATGAGTAACTACCTATAATGTCATATACATATAATTTATTCATTAATTCTTTGCACAACGTTCCTTTACCTATGACTGAGATGATTAAGATTAGACGGTTGTGGCTGCAACTGTGGTATCTGCTGTTGTGTCAGCCGTGGTTGTGTCTGCGACAGTAGTGGCAGCAGTAGCTGCTGCTGTGGTAGCTGCTGTTGTGGCAGC